GAGGGGCGGCCGCTCCCCGGCGGCGCTGACGGCCCCGCCGACCCTTGCAGAGAATCCGCTCCCAGAACATCGTGCCCTGCACCGTGTCGCAGCTGCTGGCAGCCGAGCAGGTCGACGAGACCTTCCGGATCCGCGATGTGGAGATCTCCCAGGTGGGTGCCTGGAGAGCGGGAAGGCTGTGGGGAAAAGAGACTCGCTTCCCGGGGCCTTCCCGGATAAACTCTTCCCTCTTCCAACGCAGGTTACCATTATGGGGATAATTCGGCACGCTGAGAAAGCACCGACAAACATTCTCTACAAAGTGGACGACATGACGGCAGCCCCGATGGATGTCAGGCAGTGGGTTGATACTGATGTAAGCACCATATTCCTTATGAACGCACCTCTTTAAAACCTTTGGGAGTGGTGAAGAGAGAAAACCTATGAAAAAGATGTGGCTGTTCTGAAAAGTGTTTTAGGAATAACATGCCTCTGAAAGCCAAGGGAGATGCTGCTGTAGCAGAGATCGCTGGTGCTGGATGTGACTCTTCTCCTGTTTTGTAATTCATATGTGGTTCTACATTGAATCACTCTGAATAGTTTTTTAGAGCTTAGCTGCTAAAGCTCAACCGTTACTTCATAGCTGAACTGAGGTGTGCATGCTCAGTACCTTTGTGTAGAAACACAAGGAGAGGGAGTGAGCAGAGATTTTTCTATGTGGCTCAGTGATTGAGGCGGAGACCTGTACAGATGAATACTGTCTTGTTTTCTGATGCATGCCTCCTGAAGTGCTGATAATTTTCACTGCTGGTACAGCAGGCCTTTAAAGCTAGCCCATGTTATTGTAACATATGTTTGAAGGCAAACAGCTGAGTTCAGCTGAACAACTTTGGGAGAGTAATTAGGCAGACATTCAGTTGGCTTAACTGTGCAAGTTTATCATAACTTCAAAAAAAGTTCTGGACTGCTTCCGTTCTCCTAGCCAAGTTACACAGTTGAACCCCTGCTTTTTTACTATTTGAGAGTTCTTTCCTCTTGTTGCTCTGTGAAAATCTCTCAGAAGTGGACAGAGACAGCAGAGCAGACAACTGGCTTTGACCAGTGTACAGTGTGTTCAAACGAGCAAATATTTTTTTCTCTATTTTTCATTTATGGTTATGTTTACCCAACTGCTCTTACTGGATGTAGGAAGGCATGCTGTTCGTGTGTGTTTGAGATAAGTCTCCTTTCCTAAGACATTTATTGTGATAATGGAGAAATGGAAACGTGAATCAGCAAAACCTTCTTTTCTCCTTTTCCTCTCTGTTAGGAGGCAGGTGGCGAGAACGTTGTGGTACCTCCAGGAACTTACGTAAAAGTAGCTGGTCATCTTCGTTCTTTCCAGGTAAGATGATGTTACCCATGTCTGACTCCTCAAGTCACGAGGCTGGAGCAGTGGCGTGACGGATTGGTGATCTGGCACAGTGTTAGTGGGCTCCCTTTAGAATATCCACCTAACAGTGGTCTTTGCTCATCCAATCCTTCGATGTTTTTGCCAGGGCTGTATTTAATAACACTTTAATTGTTCCTAAATGCGAAGGACAGAGTACCCATTTAAAATGCCGTTCTTCATCAGTGCGTTGTTTTCAGCAGAACAGAGTACCGGACCAGGTTCTTGGGTGTTTGTACTGTAGAGCTTAGACCAGGTTTCTGGTTAATGGGGACGCTTCTTGTAGCATATTATGTGATGTGGTTGCTTTGTAACTAAATTTTATAACTAAATATACGAATAAATATTCAAAGAATGGTGCATGCCTTAAAGCAAAGTGAAATTAATTACCAGCCAGTTTAAAAGAGAAGTTACCCTGTCTGCGTTGTCTTGCACAATCACATATGAAAATGTAAGTCAGGAAATTTTGGACTAGTTATGTGCAGACAAGCTCCCTACCCACCACTCTCCCTGTTCCTGGAGAGAATGGTTGGATTGGCTGTTAAGCATGTTCCCGTTGCTGTGATGTTAATATTTTTTCTTTGCCTTTTTTTTTTTTTTCCTCTCTGAAAGAATAAGAAAAGCTTGGTGGCATTTAAGATCATGCCTCTGGAAAATATGAATGAGTTCACCACACACATACTAGAGATTGTCAATGCGCATATGATCCTCAGAAAAAATCTTATGGTACGTACATAATTGAAGATCCCGATTCCATCCTGGCCCTTACTGGGTTACTGGTTATCTCCCAAAGAGAGGGACCTCTTGGTTCGTTG